AAAAGCTTGTGCACAAAACATCTGCAGGATCAAGGTCTCAGAAAACTGTGGGTGCTGCTGCAAAGCTTAAATTTGTATTAACCCCAGTTTTTATTGCCAGTGATGTATGATTGCTTGGGTGAGTCACATGATGTCTAGTCCCTGATTCAATAGCTGAACTAAACAACAGAATGAAAAACAGAGAATCATGAACAAATTTGGCAATTTTTTTTCAATTAGTGATGAATTTCAAAATTTCAAACTTTCCACTTTTAAGGATGCTAAGGTTTTAGGTTTGTTGCTCTAGATTTCAGTAAGTGGATGAACAAAATCAGTAATGTTTTTTATATATACAATTTTCCATGAAAATGTTGTCTAAACCAAAGAGAATTTTTTCATTGAAAAAGAGAAAAAAATTCAAAATCTGCAGTTCCTCATAAAAATTGTCATTTTAAAAAATATTTTTTCAAACAAAAATAACCCTTTTTCTTTTTTGTAAATAATGGACCAGCTGTTGGTTAAAAAATATTTTTTCAAACAAAAATATCCCTTTTTCCTTTTTGTAAATAATGGACCAGCTGTCGTGATGAATAATAAATATCATTCTTACTGGTTAACCCACGAATACTCATGTTTTCTGGGCAGAGGTACCTAAAAAAACCTGACAATATTTGAATGAACAAAAACTTGTTTGTAGGTGAAAAGTGATAAGCCACAGTATTAAGAGTCCAATTAAACAGGCATTTTGATTTAGAATCTATGGTCATAACCATAATCTGGGGCATTTGTTGGTCTGGGCTCATTCATAAGCGCAGAAGAGCATAAGAACAGGCAGACTGGATCCGACCAAGATCCTTCCAGCCCAGTGTCCTGTCTGCTCACTGGCAAAAGCCAGGTGCCCCAGGGGGAGTGAATAGAACAGGTAACCATCAAGTGATCCCTCTCCTGTCACCCATTCCTAGCCTCTGACAAACACTCCTACCCATCCTGGCTAATAGCCATTGATGGAACTAACCTGCATGAATTTAGCTAGTTCTTTTTTGAATCCTGTTAAAGTCGTGGCCTTCACAACATCCTCTGGCAAGGAGTTCCACAGGTTGACTGTGTGCTGCATGATGAAAAACTTCTTTTTACAGTAAACTTCCAATAATACAGCACCTTTAGGACCCAAGACTATCAGAAGGGGGAGCTATGAGGAGTCTGGGGTGGGATGAGAGGGAAATGCCACCCCAGACCCCTCATAGCCCCCCCTTCCAATAGTTCAGCTCTGCCCCAGGTGTCCCCGATTCAGCTGCTGTTCGTCACTTTCAGCAGCTACTAAATTGCAGATGCCTGCAGCAGAGCAGCTGGGGTTGGTTCAGTAGCACCACCCCTCGGCGCTGTGAGACCAACCCGGCAGCACCCCAGCTGCTCTTGGGGATGCCTGGGGCAGAACAGCTGGGGGTGCTGCCGGGTTGGTCCCACAGCCCTGCCCCTGAGCGCTGGGGGACCAACCTGGCAGATTCCCTTCTGACTCAGGAGAGCTGTTACCCTCTTTGCTGCCACCTACAATACCTGTCCAGAGTGGGGGGAGGGGGCGGTTTCCTTTTCCACTGAGGATGTGACTTGGCCCTGGAAACTTCAGCACTCTCTGGCTGCGTCTACGCTGGCATGATTTTCCGGAAATGCTTTTAACGGAAAATTTTCCGTTAAAAGCATTTCCGGAAAATCATGCCAGCGTAGACGCAGCCAGAGAGTGCTGAAGTTTCCAGGGCCAAGTCACATCCTCAGTGGAAAAGGAAACCGCCCCCTCCCCCCACTCTGGACAGGTATTGTAGGTGGCAGCAAAGAGGGTAACAGCTCTCCTGTTGGGTAGAGGAGCGTTGCGAGTGCTGAAGAGGCTCTAGTATCAGGCCAGGAGGTGTTTGGGAGCTCGCTGGAGCTGGTAAGCTGGCAATGCCTCTCACATCCTTTTCACTGTTTGTGTCAATGGGCCAGATTCTGAGCTGGAGTAGATTAGTCAAAGCTCCATTGGATGCAGTCAGCCAGGACCCATATAACAGATGATCCAAGTGTTTGCAGGATTGGGCCCCTATCTTGAATGCTTAAAAGAAAGGCAAACAGCCTTAACTCTCAAAGCACCCCCCGACTGGCACTTACATATCTCCCATGACAGCAATAATAACAGTGTCTCTCTTTTACACCACACTTACTTACCCCTGTAACTGCACAAGTTCTGTACCCTGGAAGGTACTAATGTTACCCCCACATCACCAATGGGGAAACTGAGGCACAGAGAGGCACATGATTTTCTCAAGGCCACCCAGCAGAGCAGTGGCAGAGCTGGGAAGGAATTCTCTGTCTCCTGAATCCCAGTCCAGTACCTTATCCACCTTAGCTATAGTGCCAGTGCAGCCACTTCTGGCTGGCTGCAATGAACACAACGAGACAATCTGGCCTGGAATACCTGCTATTCATTTAAAAGTCTGATACGTGTATTTTTTGCACAACCGGACAGAGCCTAAGGGAGTCAGGAACCCAGCTCCCATTGGCACTCTGTGGGACTTGGCACCTAACTCACCTGAGACTCTTTAAAACTTGCAGCTGCAAATTCCCTGCGTGGATCCCTGGGGTTAAGATTTTTAAAGATGTCCAGTTCCCATTAATTGAAGCCTCCAGATCCATTAGGCTGGGATTCTCAGAGGTCCTTATGGGAAACAAATGCCCAGCTCCTGGGTAAATCGGGGGAGCTGGGAGTCTAACTCCCTTAGGCCCCTCTGAAAATCACACCCCGAGAGTTTGGGGGATGTGCAGGACTTGGCTGGCCCGATGAAACACCCGGGACTGACCTGAGCGTTGTAGTTCCCAGCACATTTTCTGCCCATATTTTTCTCCTAGTCTGTGGCTCCCGGTCCGGATGCGTTTCCAGGAATCCCCACATGTAGCAATTCCCTTGAGCTAAGGACCCTGCAAGGGCAGTTTAATGCTGAGGTGATATTCCTCCTAGCACACTGCCAATTAAATCCAGAAGACGTGGGGGGAGTCAAGACAAGACAGACGTGGGGGGAGTCATCTGCAGAGAGAGAACACACGTGTAAACCCTGCAAGGGTAGCACTGCCTCTCGTGAAATACACCAGGGACAGGCTCACCACGAGTGTGCAGGCATGTGGAAGGATACGAAGGAGCCAGAACTACAGGTGGTGCATTGCCCCGTTGTTTTGCTTTGTTCCAAGGTCATTGTGAGGTGTTTCCTCCCGTCACTGTTACATGGTCACCATGAACACCAAGGTTTGCCAGCAGAGGGCAGCAGGGCCTTAGATAGGCGGGTTCCTGGCTCCCAGAGGCTATGTCTACACTCATGGCTTCTTGCACAAGTACAGCCGTTCTTTTGTAACAGGTGTAAGCTCTCTTGCCGAAGACCTCTTGCATAAGAAAGCCCTATGGCTAAAATGGCCAGCAGAGCTTTCTTGCGCAAGAGAGTATCCACACTGCCATGGATGCTCTTGTGCAAAAGCACAGTTCGCACATGGCAGTGTGGATGTGTTCTTGTGCAAGACTTCTTGCACAAGAACCCTTGCACAAGATGTTCTTTCACAAGAAGCTGCCAGTGTAGACATAGCCATAGACACCATTGTCTTGGCTTCCTGCTCCCGTTTTGCACCTTGGATGAAATGGACCATTTCTCCTGCCACTCAGCTCCAGTCCGGACGCTCTCCTGCAGGGACACGGCTGTGGCCGAGACAACCACTTGCCTGATGGCCTCCGTTGTGAGCCCGCTCCCATTGCTGCCGAATGGTGTATCCTCTGTCCTCCTCCTCCCTTCCTTGCTCAGGCTCCCGCCCAGCGTGGGGAAACAGAAAGCCTTCGCGCTCCTCCCATCTCACCCTGGTGACCTCCTTCGACAGAGCACTGCTTGTGTGGGCCCCACAGCCAGCCAGTCTCTGGGCCTAAACAAAATGTCCTCCCTGCTGTACATGGCGGTAACCCCTGTGTGAGCATGTGACACAAGGTGGGGGAGGAGTGAATAATGGAGAAGGTTGGTCGCTGACTCAGAGATCTGGGTTGCCGGGTTCACTGGTCACAAGCCAACCACGTGCATTTCAATACAGCTAACTGCAAGTGCAAACACCCAGACGTAACGGGGGGCACGCGTACACGAAGAGACGGCGACCCAGGGAAGCAGTCACTGGAACATCCCAAGTGCTTGGGGAGTAAAGGGGGGTGGCAGGCTGTGTGGGTGTCATGGGGAGGTTGAACACAGCACCCGGGGCAGGGTCCGCATCCCCCACCCACAAGACCAATCCTGCTGGAGACAATGGGCCAGCTTTCGCTCTGCCCCTGCTTTGCGTCCCTTCCTAATTATCTCCCACCGGCAGGATGCTTCCATGTCCAGCTGCCAGGGCCACAAAGGAAGCAGATCTTGGAGACACACGCCAGTGGTGTGCAGTGGTATTTAGAGAGGTGGACAGGCCGGCTGTGTCAAGGTGTTTAGATGCTTAGAGGGAGGGGTTCTTTAGGGAGGGGGTGGAATCTCCCAGCAAAGCCCTGGCTGGGATGGTTGAGTTGGGTTGGTCCTGTCTTGCTTTGGGCAGGGGCTGGACTCGGTGGCTCCTGAGGTCTCTTCCAGCCCTGGGATTCTCGGATTCTCTGATTTTCTAACCCAGGCACCCCCAAGCAGGCTGGGCCTACCTCACATTGGCTTCACTGGGGCCTGGCTGAACACCCCATGGAGCACGTATCTGCTCCGACAGATACCCAAGAGCCTTGCCAGTGTGGCCCTGTGTGTCTTCAGCACTGCGCAGTGCCTGTCCGGCAGCTCCTTTCATTGGGGTTGCTTCAGGAAAAAAGCAAATGCAACCCAACAGGCCGAATCGCAGACAAAACGAAAGGGGGGCCCATTGGATCTGCCCACCCCACTCTGAAATCCCAGTGTCGGATAACGCACTGGCCCAGCTCCACGTCACTAGGAGACTTTCCTCGCTATGGCTCGGCCTGCTCTGAGGGGCGAGTCCCCGAGGTCCCAGCGACGTGTTTTCTCCAGCTCTGATGGGGCAAGCCGAGACCTGCAGCCCCACGGGGAGACGAGCAGGCCCCTGTCATTAGCGCTATGACTGTCAGGGCTTCCCCGCCTCGCTGAGGCCTGGCAGAGTCCAGAGGCCAGCTGGAAAATCAGTAACAAACACCAGTGTCTAACGCAAGAGCTGGAAACGCCTGGCCCCGTCTCCGACGGCCACTATAAATAGCCCTTGGGCCACGCAGTGTGCAGGTCTCTGCAAGGGTCAGGCAGGGCTCTGTCCATCACAGCCTCCTGCTGAGGTGTTAAAGCTTCCCCTCCGATTTAAAGTCTGGGCCGCCGGCCTCTGTGGGACTGCAGAGCTCCCTAAGCCAGCGGCTTGCAGGGCGTGTTGCCTCTAACCGGCTGCTAGCCGCACACCGGGCGAAGTGCTGGGAGCCTGCATTTCAGCTTTCCCTTGGCATGACATTCCCGGGAACGTCACAATGATCATTCGCCTCTTTCTGCTGCTGCTGCTGCCTCGGGCCCTCGGCAGGACCCGGAGCCCCATGTGCTTGATGAAGAAACTCTTCCCGACTCACCCAGATTATTATCGGCAGGGAGACCACGTCATTGGTGGGATCCTCTCTCAGGTTATCTCCATGCTAGACCTGGAGACCTTCCGGCAGCCGCCCCTGCCTTGGTACATTAAGTACTTCATGTGAGTACAGCTGTGCTGTGTATGGAGACGCCGCGAGTGCGAGCCCTGGAGCTGAGTGTTGGGGGGCAGGGGGGTCACGGTGCAGAGCTGGGGGCAGCTTCTCTCTTTACAGGGCAGAGAATAGGCTGAATTTTAAAGAGACCAGTGAAGTGACTAGTATCTGTGTTGCTTGCCCCCAGCGGCTTTAAAAGGATTGGCGAGGGAGTTCTTGAGGGAATGATTGTTATTGAACAAATCTGGTTAAACTGAGGAATGCCCAGGGAAATGAGAAAAACCTGTTAAACTGAGGAATGCCCAGGGAAATGAGAAAAATGAGACAAACCCCCCAAATGTACCAATATTTAAGAACATCAGATCAGCCACACAGGGTCAGACTGATAGTCCATCTAGTCCAGTGTCCTTTCTTCTGACAGCGGCCAATGCCAGGTGCACCGGAGAGAGTGAACAGAACAGGGAATCATCAAGTGAGCCCTCCCCTGCCACCCACAAATAGACAAACAGAGGCTAGGGACACCATTCCTCCCCATCCTGGCTAATAGCCACTGATGGACCTGTCTTCCAAGAACTTATCTAGTTATTTTTTGAACCTTTTTGTAGTTTTGGTCTTTACAACATCCTCTGGCAGTGAGTTCCGCAGGTTGACTGTGCTGAATTTAAAAGAGATAAATCAAGTTTATTAGCCTGATGCTAGCCAAAATGATGGCAAATCTGATATGGGAAGCTACGCAAGAAAGATTAAATGATGCCAGAATATATGGTGCCAGTCAGCATTGTTTTATAGAAGCTAGGTTTTGCCAAACAAACTTGATATCATGAAAATCCTGCTAAACTCTTAACTGCTTATGTGAGCTTATGGATTTAGTTGACAAAGGAAATTGTGATGATATAATATGAGAGACAATGTGGGCGAGGTATTATCTTTTATAAGCTTGACTTCTGTTAATAAAAGACAAGCTTTTCCTACAGACCTCTTCTGCCCCTCTGGGGAAGGGAAACAGTATCACAGATAAATACAAGTTGGAACAGGCTGCCAAGTATCAGGCGTTAACACAGTGCAAGAAAGTGGGGCGGGCAGATAACGGCTCTGAGCTCAGAGGAGAAAGGCGAGCGAATGGTTAACAGATTGATATAATGTTTCTTCAAACCAGTGTCTTTGATGCGCGTATGATTTCCAGTGGCTAGCAGAGGGATGAAGTGACAAATTGCGATGGTGTACTCACACTTACCTAGGGAGTTTGATGCGAAGTTAAACAAACGTTTTACAAAATCAGAGTCACCAGAGCAAAAAGGACTAAGAACGGGGTAATTGACAGATCCCAAAACAATGCTTGTAGAGACTGAGCAGTAAAGGGGGGTTTCTAGCAAGGTTAATAGTCAAATACCTTTATCAGGGAATTGGAAGAAAGTAACAAAGCTGTTGCTGCTCAGTTTGCAGGCAGCCCAACAATTCGTGGATTGGGCCGGGTCTGCAGTGGCCAACAACCCAATGCAAGGGGATGGGTCGGGTCTAGGGGCAAGCGACGGCAGCCACGTGTGTAGGACACGGGCTCTGTGTGGAAGCCTGGGACTAGGAACAGGGATTAGCAGTCGGGGTGGATCATGGACTGAACCCAGAGTCCCGGGGCAAGACGGGGGCTGGGCGAGCCAGTGCAGCCCTGGGGTGTGTCCGTGGGCGCATGCTGACTAGAAATGGGGGAGGCGGGGGGAGGGATTCTGGCTGTATCGTTCCCCAGGCTGTTACTGTCCAGTTCAGCTCGGCACTTCCTCGAAAGGGCTCCAGAAAGGGCCACCGGGAACACCTCCGCACAGCTCACTCTAGGCGATTCCTGCCAGGGAAAGCTCAGAACGCCTTGCCCAAAGCCTGTCGGCGAGATTCCCGTCTGCCCTGGGCTCTCAAATTCTCCAGAGCCAGGTGTAGCAGCACCCAGGGGCCGAAAGCCAGAGATCAACGCCCTATCCCCTAGGCCACTGCCGGCCCCAGCCCCAGTCCGTACCTTCCAGGAATCCCTTACCCTGCCTTCCGAACACTAGAGCCAGTTCCCTCTCCGGGGCAGCCTGTGTGGGCCATTCAGCTCTCCCAGGATGGGGCGGGATTCGAACACCCAACCCTGCCCTCCCCAGGTGAGAGAGAAGGGGTGAGTTCTATGGCAGAGTAGGTTGGGACAATTGGAACAATTTGCCACGGAACACAGCTGCACCTCCAGCTTTAAATAAACAGCAGCTGCATCTTCCTACGGGCGAGGCAGGGCGCATCCGTGCGCTATGCAGACCAGGCTAGTGGCTCACCATGGCCCCTGTCGGCCTGGCCATCGAGGAGTCGATGAAAGGCCGGGAGTTCTAGATGGTGTGGCCTTTGACTGGGGCCGAGTGGGTGTTACTGAGCCACCAAAGGGCAAACCGAAGGGCAGCCGGCGCGGAGGAGGAAAATCCAGGCAGTGCAGCCAGTGGCAGGGCCCCAGTACTGAACAGCCACTGTCCAAAGAGAGCTGGCTGCACCACCACACGCGTACGCAAACCCAGACAGTCACAGCTTGGCTGCAGCCTGCAGTGCCCCTCCCCTGTCCTGCTGGCTCCTGATTCCTTAGTGTCTCCTCCCGTCCCCCCCAAGCCACTGGAGGACTCGGTCGGAGGGGGCTTTCCCGAGGCAGGGGGCTCAGGTTGCCTCTCCCCCAGCAGCTCTCGTAGAAGCGGAGCCCCAGGTGATGTTGGGGAGCGGCGCAGGTCCCGGTTGAGCTGACTGATGGGAAACGCCAAGGCCCAGACGAGAGGTTGTTCTTAGGCACTGGCCTCGGAACGGGACGGTTCCCCAGTGTGGGGTGGAATCTCCATCCCTAGAGGTGTTTAAGTCCCGGCTTGACTAAGCCCTGGCTGGGATGATTGAGTTGGGGTTGGTCCTCAGCCTCATGCCAAGTTTCCAAAAAGCCTCTTTTGAAAGGAAAGTGGAAAAGATCTGTACACTGTGGTTTGCAGTTTGCCGATCTTTTTCCAGCTTTTCTCTGTAGTGTAGATGTAGCCATAGTCATGATTCCTGCAGTTGTCACTTTGGGTACGTCTAGATTACAGGCTTCTGTCGACAAAGAGCATCTAGACTACATTGAGTTCTGTCGACAAAGCAAGCTGCTTTGTCGACATGGTAGTGTAGACGCAAAGGACAGTTTACATGCAATAACACCTTCTGTCGACAGAAACTCTGTCGACAGAAGTCGTTATGCCTCGTAAAATGAGGTTTACCAGCGTCGACAAAACTGCTGAGTTCTGTCGACGTTATGTCAACAGAACTCAGCGGTAGTGTGGACACAGGTATAGTTTTGTTGACTAAAGTCCACTTTTGTCGACAAAACCCTGTAGTCTAGACACACCCTTTAAGGAAAATACTAAATCTTGCTAAAACACAATAACATCTCAAAAGTCCAGAAGCTGGAAATGGGCAACAGGGGATGATTCCCGGTTCTGTTCACTCCCTCTGGGCCATCTGGCATTGGCCACCATCGGCGGGCAGGACATGGGGCTAGATGGACCTTTGGTCTGACCCAGGCTGTCTGCTCTCATGGTCTAACACTGTGGCGGGGCAGTGGGCGGAAGGATGAGCTCTCCTTGCTAGCAAGCTGCCGGGTGTACACCTCTGTGTCTCTCCTGTCGCCCACAATTTTAATCTCGTGCAGGCTGGTGCCCAAGAACTACCAGCACGTCTTGGCCCTGGTGTTTGCCATCGATCAGATCAACCGGGACCCCGCGCTGCTCCCCAACATCACCCTGGGGTTCCGCATCTACGAGAGCTTTTTCAGCCCCCGGAAGACCTACGAGAGCGCCTTCACCCTGCTCTCCACCCGAGCCATCATGATCCCCAATTACAAGTGCGACAGGAAGGACCAGTTGGCAGCTGTCATCGGGGGGCTCGGGGCTGAAACATCCCTCCAGATGGCAACTGTCTTGGGCCTCTACAAGATCCCGCAGGTGAGGAGTGGGGGGGGAGGGGTGTGTCAGCTCACTCAGATGGGGCCAAAGACTCATTGTGCAACTTGATTCATCTCAGAAGAGACGGGGAAATACTCTACGGGGATTTCCAAGCCCTTCTCGGCCCTCCTGCTGTTTGGAGGCGTGGAACCCGTGGTTCTGCAAGTCCACCATGCACCCCCGTTTCTCTGTGGCTCTCCAAATGCATTCACACTCCCGTTAGCGGCACCTGGCCTTGAGGGAGCAACACGACCGCCGTGTGTGCAGTGACCTAAGCCAGCTTTTCGTTGGGTGGCACTAGGACACCGCCACTGAGTGCCCTCAAATAGCATGGGAAAGCCAGGGTTGTCGGCAGACTCAAGAGCCCCACGTTCCCCATTTGGCTGGAGTCCATCTTCACATCCGGCTCTCTCTGATCCACAGCAAAACTCCCAAACTAGGCCGTCCACAGCTGGGTCACTTGTCTCCAGATCCAGCCAGGGTGTGTCAGCCTGCCTGGGCTTCCAGAGCTTTCCAGCAGGAACCTTTTGGGGGTTGGGGGCCACTGGCCCACAGAGAAATCAGTCGGGTGCCGCACGCAAGTGAGAAGCAGAGAAACCTCGACCCCATATGAGAAGCAAGAAAAAAGACACTCGCCTCTCTCCCCTCAAGCTGCTGCCAAGATTCAGGGCTTACACCGAGGGCTCGAGGGCCTGGGGCTAGTAGATTTTGTGGAGGCCCCTAGGCTCTGGGGTGGCACAATGAGGGGTTAAGCATAGGGGAGGAGATGCTGGGGAGTGGGTTGAGAGTTGGGGTGCAGGATCCAGGAAGGAAGTAGGGAGCAGAAGCAGGCTGAGGTGGGGGTGCAGGGTTTGGGAGGGAGGGTGCAGGAGCAGACTGAGGTGGGGGTGCAGGGTCTGGGAGGAACAGTGCAGGAGGGGGTGGGGGTGCAGGGTTCAAGAGGGATGGTGCAGGAGGGGGTGGAAGTGTGGAGCTAATACTGGGTGGGAAGGAAGAACCAGGTGGGGGTGCGGGTGAATGTATTTAGTTCTTGTTTGAGCCCTGTTTTAGTCTTGGCTTCACAACATCCTCTGGCAAGGAGTTCCACAGGTTGATTGTGCATTGTGCTCACTGTTTAGCTTTTGTGAACTCCCTTTTCATGGCAGCTGCAGGACGTAATGTATTTTCACATCAGGTCCCATCGCAACAGTGTTCCTCATGTGGCTGCATCTCCAGTCTAGTCTGGAACTGAACCTGATGTTGAAAAAAAATCCCTGAGTGATTCTTGTGGTTAAGACTGAAGGTTGTTGCTGTAACACCTCTAGTTACTCACTTTCGTTGTCTGATTCATTGAGTGGTTACTGGTTGTATCGACTTGTGAGAATTTCCAGTCCCTCACTGATCAAATTTCTGAGGCTTAGAAAGGGTCTAGTCCCAGAATCAGTCCCAACAGAATTAGGTTTCCACCTTACACATGCTCACTCCTTTTACCTACGTTCTGCCCTGCCTCTGGCGTGCCAAGCAAGTCAGGATCTCAAAACTCACATGCTGATTTGTCCTATTCCAGGGCCTGGCGACTACCACAGATATTGACATAAACTCCCAGCCTCCTTTGTCAAGAACTGTCGTCCTCATCTAAATGAGGGATTATATGTAAATTAATGATCTCAACGTGTTTCCAAATACATCAATTTGTTGACAAGGCAAGAAGGTGTTCCCAGCATAAAATATCCAAAATCTGTTACCAATCACACTCCTGAGGTTACGTGGCGTCGTTTACACAAAAATTCGTTAAACATAACTATCGGGGGGTGCCATTAATTCAGGGCCGCTGTTGGATAACACACTTGTGCTTCCAAGCCTGATGTTCCCTACTGAAGCTAATGTCTGAGCAGTGTCCATTTCTTGTGTTACTTCTCCATATAAAAGCTATAAGCTAGCTCTGTGGGGCACAGAATTACAATCTGAGATGTATTATTTGGAGTGGAACCCACATGCTCACATGACATTACTCTTAAAGAGAGATCATGGAACAATCTTGGCAGGTCAACAAGTCCATTGTGAGGCCCAAACACCATCTAGGTCATCTCTGAGGGTACATCTAGACTTCATGGCTCCGTCGATGGAGCCATGTAGATGAGTTTACTAGACATAGGAAAATGAAGCTGTGATTTAAATAATCACTGCTTCGTTTACATCAAAATGGCTGCCCTGCTGTGCTGATCAGGTGTTTGGTGGCACAGCGGGGCAGTCTGGACGCTCTGCAGTCAACAGTGGAAGCCTTTGTCAACCGCTCTGGTAAACCTCATTCCACGAGGTATAATGGAGCGGTCAGCAAAGGCTTCCCAAAGTCCAGACTGCCCTGCTGTGCCGCTGATCAGCACAGCGTGGTGGCCATTTTGATGTAAACGAAGCAGTGATTATTTAAATCACAGCTTCATTTTCCTATGTCTAGTAAACTCATCTACATGGCTCTGTCAATGGAGCCATGTAGTCTAGACATACCCTGATAGACCTGTTCCCAAATATCTCCAATGATGGAGACTCCACAACCTCCCAAAACACATGGCCCTAGTGAGATTTGCATTCACAACCCTTGGTTTACAATGCCAGTGCTCAAACCCCTGAGCTATGGAGCCTAACTGGGCAGGTTTCCTTTTTGCAATTGAACATATTAAAAATTCACCATTTCTGGCTGTTTCCCAATTTATTGTTTCCAGGATTTTTGCAACCAGTGATCTCCTCCCTTCTCCCTAGGAGAAGCCAATGCAGAAGAAACATAGTCAGATTGGTACTTGATTTGGGGGAAATAATTTCAAATTTTCAGAAGAGCTGGCTGGAAATTTTCCATGGAAATGTTTGTGTGCATAATTTGGGGGTTTGGGAGAGAAAAAGGAAATCGGGGTCAAAGGAAATCTTTTTCTTGAAAATATTACAGTTTTCACTGGGAACATAAACAACTGGAAACAAAATATCTGGGTTTTGTGGCTGAATTGTTTGTTTTGGTTTTGATAGAAATTTTGCTAAGAAATGTTGGGTGTTAGATAGCCCAGAAGAAAACTTGGCCATTTTGCATAGAAATTTTCCACCGAGAGAAGAAACCATTCTCTAAAAACTTTAGATTTCACCCAGATCTTTGACACATTTTCTCTTTCAGATCAGCTATGGCTCATTCCACACCATGCTCAACGATAAACTGCAGTTCCCTTCTGTCTATCAGATGGTCCCAAATGAGACCCTCCAGTCTCTGGGCCTGGTCCGGTTACTGCAGCATTTCCGATGGACCTGGATTGGCCTCATCACTTCGGACGATGACAGTGGAGAAAAGTTTGGGCAGGCGCTGAAGCGAATGCTCACTAGGAACAGCATCTGTGTGGCCTTCACTGAACGGGCCCCGCTTGTGCCTTCCTCTTCCATGGACTATGCGTTTCGGGAGCTCCATTTCAAGCTCCATGCCACTATCTCCCAGACAACAGCGGAGGTGATTGTTGTCTATGGCGACATGGACTCCCTGCTAGGCTTGAAAATGTTTTTACATGCGAGCTCCCAGGCAGCCCTGACGCCGATAGGGAAGGTTTGGATCACAACGGCTCAGTGGGACTTCACATCGTCTATCGCACTCAATCAGTGGACTCTAAAACCCTTCCACGGTGCCTTGTCCTTCACGGTCCACACAGAGGAGGTGCCGGGGTTCCTAGGGTTCCTCCAGGCCCTCAACCCTTACCAGCCCCGAGGAGATATTTTCATCCAGCGGTTTTGGCACAGTGTCTTCAATTGCTCCATTCTCAACACCAGCTTGACGATCAAGGGGGGGAGAAATTGCTCGGGGAAGGAAGAACTGGCAGGCCTGCCGGGCTCTGACTTTGAAATGAAAATGTCCAGCCAGAGCTACAACATCTACAAGGGTGTCTATGCTGTGGCGCATGCGCTGCATGCCCTGTACTCATCCAAAGCCAAAAAGGAAGCCACAGGCAAAGGACCTCAGTGGGAGCTTCAAAACATCCAGCCATGGGAGGTAATATCTCTGCTTACGGAAGCACCAATAAACATTCGCAATCCTCTATGGCCAGGTCTACATGAGACCTGGAAGGTCGAACTGGAGTCGGCTTAACTTAAGCCGAGCCTGGCGCTGTCCCCGCTGCGGGAGGTCAATGGGAGCCAGCGTTCTCGTTGTCTTCCCTTACCCCTCGCAACTGCGAGTACAGACTACGGATGTTAAAATGCGGTTAATTGACTAGTCGAGCAGTCAGTGGAATTTCCATCGACTACTCGACTAGTCGATAGGCACTTCTGCATTCCTCCTTTGAAACGTACAAGAGCCCCTGCTGGGAAGGAGGAATGCAGAACTCCATGTGCACCCAGGGCCAGCGGAAGTCCCACTGACTCCGGGCTGCATGTGGGTGCCTGCTTTGAAATGCACAAGAGTCCCCAGAGTCCCCCACTGATCCCTGGATCCATGCTGCGCTGCAGCTGGGGAGTTCCCAGCCGACCCCGGGCTCCACAGCGCTTCAGCGATTTAAAGGGGCAGCGCTGCACAGCTGGGCCTTGGATCAGCTGTGCGGTGGCTGCCCCTTTGAAACACCGCCTTGAAACCTTTGAAACGTCAGCTCAGCTATGCGGTGCTGCCGCTTTGAAGTACCCCTCCTCCTTCCCCTTTGCTGTCTCTATTTCATAGAGGCAGTAAGGGGGAAGGGGGAATTGACTAGTCAACTAGTGAACAGACTCTCCGATAAGCAAATGCTTATCAGAGAGTTGACTAGTCAACTAGTCCTTAGTATAGACGCCATCCAGAACTGCCCTCAATGTTCAATTTACAAATCTATAGTAGACCCACTAAATCAAACGCCAAGAATGTCAATCTCCGGCACATCAAGTGGTCCTGCTTCAGACAGGGGGCTGGATTTGATGACCTCCTGAGGTCTCTTCCAGCTCTATGATTCTATGATTCTATGAGTGAAGACATGCCCTGTTTAATGTGTGCCAAAATTTTCAGTAGGACCTTTTTTCTCACGTGTATAATACAATAATAATGATCATTAATAATTTTAGCACATCCACTGGTGTAAATCAGGAGTAAGTCTACTGGGATCAGATCGGGGAGACACTATTGTAATGGGCGTTGAATGAGACTGAATAATTTATATTTTTAACTGAATAGTTTGGATGATTTATTTGCAGAATTGTTTCTTATATGCCAGGAGCTTCTCAAATGCTTTAAGAAATCATTCCAGATGTTCTCAGTGCATTGCTTCTCAATTCAGGACTTCTCAATTGGGGCTTGATTTGTACCGGTATTTAGGTTCTCTTAATTCCCTAGAGAACTTTTCCAAAGTTCTCAATTTTCAGTCTGCTAGCTGCAAAATGCCTTCCTTTACGAAGTCACCCTGTGCCGGAGAAAAGAGAAACAGAAAACAGAATTCTGCTCCCAAAGATTGTAACTGGCAGTTTCATGAATTCAGCGCATGGGCATTTATCGCATTTGGTAACCTTGGCCTCCTTCCCTTCTGATCTAGCTCCATCCTTTTCTGAAAAACGTCCGATTTAACAACAGTGCCGGGGACGACGTGTATTTCGATGAGAACGGGGAATCATCATCCGGATACGACATTTTAAACTGGATCATTTTCCCCAATGAGTCCTTCGTCAGGGTCAAAGTGGGCCACGTGGATCCCAGGGCACCCTTAGGCCAAGAATTCACCATTAACGAGGCGGCCATTGTTTGGAACAGCAAATTCAATCAGGTGGGGAATCATTCCAGGTTCCGGTGACACAGGGCAGTGACTCCTATTGGGTAACCCATTCCCCTCTGGATTTCACACTTCCTCCCAGAGAAGGGGCACAGACACCTCACAGTAATGCCCCGCTGCTGCTAACCCACTCGACTGCTTCTGTCCAGACAGTGCCCCGGTCCACGTGCACCGAGAGCTGCCGTCCTGGGTTCGTTAAGACAATTCGGGAGGGGGAGCCGCTTTGTTGCTACGACTGTGTGCCATGCCCAGAAGGGACCATTTCCAGCCAGGCAGGTGGGTGTCTCTGCAGGAAGTTGTAGTGTATTAAGCACAGTGTGGGACTCACAAGCGATCCCTGTGCAGGTGTGTGCAGTGGCCGGGGGCGGGGGAGTCTGTCCTGTCCTGCTCTCGCAGGCTAACCGTCTGTGGGTTTGTGATGTGTCTCTCTCTGTTGGGAGCCAGTCTGCACCAGAGTAGAGCGTTGTTCCCCTCTGCTCTAAGGAGCAGCCTGCTCTGTCTCCCCCTGTTTTCGGTTATTGTGTGTCCATGTTCCAGATGGTAAGAAATGAGGTTGTGTGACATTGCCGCCTTTCTCAAAAAGTGTTATTGCTTGGAAACTAAATTCTCCCTCTGTGTGATGTGAACATAACTGAAGTATCAGCCCGTATAGAAGGGCGAAGTTGGGGGAATTGAACTCATAATTAACTAATTATTTTTTATAACTTCTCACCTGTGGAAAATTCCAGCATTGTGACAATTGTTTTCATCCAAAATTGAGACACAAAAGTTGAAATATCAAAACAGAATGAAAATTTAAATTAAAGAAAGTAAAAATGCCCTGAAAATTGCTTCATTTTGCATCTATCTATCTATCTATCTATCTATCCGCATCCACCCCCTCTATCTATCTGTCTGTCTGTCTGTCTGTCTGTCTATCTATCTATCTATCTATCTGTCTATCTAGCTATCTATCTATCTATCCCCATACACCCCCTCTATCTATCTATCTATCTATCTATCTATCTATCTATCTATCTATCTATCTATCTATCTATCTATCTATCTATCTATCTATCTATCTATCTATCTATCTATCTATCTATCTATCTATCTATCTATCTATCTATCTATCTATCTATCTATCTATCTATCTATCTATCTATCTATCTATCTATCTATCTATCTATCTATCTATCTATCTATCTATCTATCTATCTATCTATCTATCCGCATCCACCCCCTCTATCTATCTGTCTGTCTGTCTGTCTGTCTGTCTATCTATCTATCTATCTATCTGTCTATCTAGCTATCTATCTATCTATCCCCATACACCCCCTCTATCTATCTATCTATCTATCTATCTATCTATCTATCTATCTATCTATCTATCTATCTATCTATCTATCTATCTATCTATCTATCTATCTATCTATCTATCTATCTATCTATCTATCTATCCCCACACACACCATCTATCTATCTATCTATCTATCTATCTATCTATCTATCTATCTATCTATCTATCTATCCTCCTTATGTGGTGAAGGGCAACCTAGTCTAGTGAGTGGGTCACATTGGTGGCCTCCTTCATCTTAGTGGGCCACGAGATTATCGTAGCCAAGAGGTTTTCCTGGGATAGGGCACTTTACACAGTCTAGGTAGACTGCAATGGTAAGTTGGAAAAATAAACGCAATTTGCGGATCTTTTTTCGCTTTACTGTCAAAAGAGGCTTTGTAAAAACGTTGCACGTCTACACAGTGCCAAATTTCAGAACAAAAGTGCTCTTTTGACACATCCCTTACTCCTCATAAAACGAGGGTGACGGGGATGGCGTAAGAGCGTGTCCACTTTTTCAAAAATTTTCCAAAAAAGCGGCCGCGTTCCTTGGACATGGCATTGCTTCACCGATACCTCTGGGATCCCAGAAAAGCAGTACAGTCTAGAGGTGGCCTAACTGTGCGTCTGTGCCTAGATGTGCAGTTTGTGCTGACTGAACTGGAGCAGCGCTGTGACTGGCTGCAGAGGGAGCGCCCAGCTCTCACAACGTTGTGTGCAATCTGCATGCACGTCACTTCGTGTGCCCTGGCTTTGTGTGTGTGTCACTTTAGTAATACTGGTAGGAAAAAAATACTGCTAGGGGGTCATCCCCCTCTTGACCTGCTGCTATTAGCTCCTGGCATTGGAGGGGTCACTGGCTAAGCTGGCCTGCGTGAGGGAAACACTGGGGTGTGTGTAGATGAGGAGTCCTCGCTTTGTTTCTTTCAGATGCGGCTCATTGTGACCAGTGCCCGGAAGACCAGTATCCAAATCGGGACCAAGATACCTGCCTCCCCAAGACTGTGGTTTTCCTTGCCTACGGAGAGCCTTTGGGCTGTGCTTTTGCTTCCTTTGCTCTTTTGTTCTCTCTCCTCACAGCCTGGGTGCTGGGAATCTGCATTAAGCACCGGGAGACGCCCATCGTGAGGGCCAACAACCGGGAGCTCACCTTCCTTCTTCTCCTCTCCCTCCTGCTTTGCTTCCTCTGCAGTTTGGTGTTCATTGGCCGGCCTGGGCGGGTGACCTGCCTTCTCCGACAAACGGCTTTTGGGATCATCTTCTCCATCTCCGTTTCCTCCGTCCTGGCCAAAACCGTCCTTGTGGTTCTGGCCTTCAGGGCCACGACGCCCGGGGCCCGCACAAGGAAGTCCGTGGTCACTTCCTGTTCCCTTATCCAAGTGGGGATCTGCTCTGGCTGGCTGGGAACCGCTCCCCCATTCCCTGACTTGGACCTGACCTCCGAGGCCGGGCACATCGTGGTGCGGTGTAACGAGGGGTCCAACGCCGCCTTTTACTGCGTCCTCGGCTACTTGGGACTCCTGGCCCTTGTCAGCTTCACAGCTGCTTTCCTAGCCAGGAAACTGCCTGATGCCTTCAACGAGGCCAAGTGCATCACCTTCAGCATGCTGGTGTTCTGCAGCGCCTGGGTGGCCTTCATCCCCACCTACCTCAGCACGACGGGGAAGTACATGGTGGCCGTGGAGATCTTCTCCATCTTGGCCTCCAGCGCTGGGCTGCTGGGCTGCATCTTCCTCCCCAAGTGCTACATCATCGTGCTGCGGCCGGAGCTGAACACCCGCGAGCAGCTGGTTAGGAAGCCCAAATCTGGGAGCCTGAATTATGAAGTTTCCTCCTTTTGATAAAATGTCTTCATTTATCTCACTGATTTTGTCCCAGGGTGGCTTTGGCCTGGTCTATTAGGGTACATCTAGACTGTGGCACTATTTTGGGATCAGAGAAGAATCCTGAAATAGCTATTCCGCCTCTTTTAAACCCGCCCCAAATCAAAATCGATTTTGAAATAACGGGCACGCTATTCCAGCGTCCGTGTAACCCTTCTTCCACAAGGGTTCAGGGATGTTTTGGAATAGCACCTGATTTCAAAAACTGGGACTGTGTAGACAGCACCAAATTTTGAAATAAGCTATTTTGAAATTACCTCAAATTGTGTAGCTTATTTTGAGGTAAGAATGCAGTGTAGGCAGCACCCAAACACTGACGAGAATTGAAACGGGAAAAGTTCATATGTGGGTGTTTCTTACGGAGACGTTCTGCTCTGGGTGTCTGCGACACAGCTCATAGATCCCAGGGCCAGCCGGGACCACTGTGGGCACCTAGCCTGACCCCTCTGTGGAGCACACATCAGGGAATCTCCCCAAATCTCTTGTAGGGCTTTCAAAATCATTCCAGGCATATGCAAGTCCCGGGGTGAGTCTGTCGTGCGAACCTTCCTGGTGCCAGGAGTGTCCATGCTGCATTGTCCAGTAAGCAGCTCAGCATCTAGGCCTTGGTGCGCCCTGACAGGCAGGAAGGCACGGTGCGGAAAGGGGGGTTCCTGGGGGTTGCAGGACAGGGTGAGGTAGCAGATCCCTCTACACAGGGGCTCAGACACGACCACTTCAAAGGGAGAAAAAGTCGGTCGTGCTTAGATCCCAGGCAAGGCAAGAGTCCAGGTTCTGCAGATCCAAGGTCTGGGGTGTCCCGTCCAACAAACTGTCTCCTCTACCCGCCCCTCCAGGGCCCCATCCCAACCCCACGTGTCTCCTCTACCCGCCCCTCCAGGGCCCCATCCCAACCCCACGTGTCTCCTCTACCCGCCCCTCCAGGGCCCCATCCCAACCCCACGTGTCTCCTCTACCCGCCCCTCCAGGGCCCCATCCCAACCCCACGTGTCTCCTCTACCCGCCCCTCCAGGGCCCCATCCCAACCCCACGTGTCTCCTCTACCCGCCCCTCCAGGGCCCCATCCCAACCCCACGTGTCTCCTCTACCCGCCCCTCCAGGGCCCCATCCCAACCCCACGTGTCTCCTCTACCCGCCCCTCCAGGGCCCCATCCCAACCCCACGTGTCTCCTCTACCCGCCCCTCCAGGGCCCCATCCCAACCCCACGTGTCTCCTCTACCCGCCCCTCCAGGGCCCCATCCCAACCCCACGTGTCTCCTCTACCCGCCCCTCCAGGGCCCCATCCCAACCCCACGTGTCTCCTCTACCCGCCCCTCCAGGGCCCCATCCCAACCCCACGTGTCTCCTCTACCCGCCCCTCCAGGGCCCCATCCCAACCCCACGTGTCTCCTCTACCCGCCCCTCCAGGGCCCCATCCCAACCCCACGTGTCTCCTCTACCCGCCCCTCCAGGGCCCCATCCCAACCCCACGTGTCTCCTCTACCCGCCCCTCCAGGGCCCCATCCCAACCCCACGTGTCTCCTCTACCCGCCCCTCCAGGGCCCCATCCCAACCCCACGTGTCTCCTCTACCCGCCCCTCCAGGGCCCCATCCCAACCCCACGTGTCTCCTCTACCCGCCCCTCCAGGGCCCCATCCCAACCCCACGTGTCTCCTCTACCCGCCCCTCCAGGGCCCCATCCCAACCCCACGTGTCTCCTCTACCCGCCCCTCCAGGGCCCCATCCCAACCCCACGTGTCTCCTCTACCCGCCCCTCCAGGGCCCCATCCCAACCCCACGTGTCTCCTCTACCCGCCCCTCCAGGGCCCCATCCCAACCCCACGTGTCTCCTCTACCCGCCCCTCCAGGGCCCCATCCCAACCCCACGTGTCTCCTCTACCCGCCCCTCCAGGGCCCCATCCCAACCCCACGTGTCTCCTCTACCCGCCCCTCCAGGGCCCCATCCCAACCCCACGTGTCTCCTCTACCCGCCCCTCCAGGGCCCCATCCCAACCCCACGTGTCTCCTCTACCCGCCCCTCCAGGGCCCCATCCCAACCCCACGTGTCTCCTCTACCCGCCCCTCCAGGGCCCCATCCCAACCCCACGTGTCTCCTCTACCCGCCCCTCCAGGGCCCCATCCCAACCCCACGTGTCTCCTCTACCCGCCCCTCCAGGGCCCCATCCCAACCCCACGTGTCTCCTCTACCCGCCCCTCCAGGGCCCCATCCCAACCCCACGTGTCTCCTCTACCCGCCCCTCCAGGGCCCCATCCCAACCCCACGTGTCTCCTCTACCCGCCCCTCCAGGGCCCCATCCCAACCCCACGTGTCTCCTCTACCCGCCCCTCCAGGGCCCCATCCCAACCCCACGTGTCTCCTCTACCCGCCCCTCCAGGGCCCCATCCCAACCCCACGTGTCTCCTCTACCCGCCCCTCCAGGGCCCCATCCCAACCCCACGTGTCTCCTCTACCCGCCCCTCCAGGGCCCCATCCCAACCCCACGTGTCTCCTCTACCCGCCCCTCCAGGGCCCCATCCCAACCCCACGTGTCTCCTCTACCCGCCCCTCCAGGGCCCCATCCCAACCCCACGTGTCTCCTCTACCCGCCCCTCCAGGGCCCCATCCCAACCCCACGTGTCTCCTCTACCCGCCCCTCCAGGGCCCCATCCCAACCCCACGTGTCTCCTCTACCCGCCCCTCCAGGGCCCCATCCCAACCCCACGTGTCTCCTCTACCCGCCCCTCCAGGGCCCCATCCCAACCCCACGTGTCTCCTCTACCCGCCCCTCCAGGGCCCCATCCCAACCCCACGTGTCTCCTCTACCCGCCCCTCCAGGGCCCCATCCCAACCCCACGTGTCTCCTCTACCCGCCCCTCCAGGGCCCCATCCCAACCCCACGTGTCTCCTCTACCCGCCCCTCCAGGGCCCCATCCCAACCCCACGTGTCTCCTCTACCCGCCCCTCCAGGGCCCCATCCCAACCCCACGTGTCTCCTCTACCCGCCCCTCCAGGGCCCCATCCCAACCCCACGTGTCTCCTCTACCCGCCCCTCCAGGGCCCCATCCCAACCCCACGTGTCTCCTCTACCCGCCCCTCCAGGGCCCCATCCCAACCCCACGTGTCTCCTCTACCCGCCCCTCCAGGGCCCCATCCCAACCCCACGTGTCTCCTCTACCCGCCCCTCCAGGGCCCCATCCCAACCCCACGTGTCTCCTCTACCCGCCCCTCCAGGGCCCCATCCCAACCCCACGTGTCTCCTCTACCCGCCCCTCCAGGGCCCCATCCCAACCCCACGTGTCTCCTCTACCCGCCCCTCCAGGGCCCCATCCCAACCCCACGTGTCTCCTCTACCCGCCCCTCCAGGGCCCCATCCCAACCCCACGTGTCTCCTCTACCCGCCCCTCCAGGGCCCCATCCCAACCCCACGTGTCTCCTCTACCCGCCCCTCCAGGGCCCCATCCCAACCCCACGTGTCTCCTCTACCCGCCCCTCCAGGGCCCCATCCCAACCCCACGTGTCTCCTCTACCCGCCCCTCCAGGGCCCCATCCCAACCCCACGTGTCTCCTCTACCCGCCCCTCCAGGGCCCCATCCCAACCCCACGTGTCTCCTCTACCCGCCCCTCCAGGGCCCCATCCCAACCCCACGTGTCTCCTCTACCCGCCCCTCCAGGGCCCCATCCCAACCCCACGTGTCTCCTCTACCCGCCCCTCCAGGGCCCCATCCCAACCCCACGTGTCTCCTCTACCCGCCCCTCCAGGGCCCCATCCCAACCCCACGTGTCTCCTCTACCCGCCCCTCCAGGGCCCCATCCCAACCCCACGTGTCTCCTCTACCCGCCCCTCCAGGGCCCCATCCCAACCCCACGTGTCTCCTCTACCCGCCCCTCCAGGGCCCCATCCCAACCCCACGTGTCTCCTCTACCCGCCCCTCCAGGGCCCCATCCCAACCCCACGTGTCTCCTCTACCCGCCCCTCCAGGGCCCCATCCCAACCCCACGTGTCTCCTCTACCCGCCCCTCCAGGGCCCCATCCCAACCCCACGTGTCTCCTCTACCCGCCCCTCCAGGGCCCCATCCCAACCCCACGTGTCTCCTCTACCCGCCCCTCCAGGGCCCCATCCCAACCCCACGTGTCTCCTCTACCCGCCCCTCCAGGGCCCCATCCCAACCCCACGTGTCTCCTCTACCCGCCCCTCCAGGGCCCCATCCCAACCCCACGTGTCTCCTCTACCCGCCCCTCCAGGGCCCCATCCCAACCCCACGTGTCTCCTCTACCCGCCCCTCCAGGGCCCCATCCCAACCCCACGTGTCTCCTCTACCCGCCCCTCCAGGGCCCCATCCCAACCCCACGTGTCTCCTCTACCCGCCCCTCCAGGGCCCCATCCCAACCCCACGTGTCTCCTCTACCCGCCCCTCCAGGGCCCCATCCCAACCCCACGTGTCTCCTCTACCCGCCCCTCCAGGGCCCCATCCCAACCCCACGTGTCTCCTCTACCCGCCCCTCCAGGGCCCCATCCCAACCCCACGTGTCTCCTCTACCCGCCCCTCCAGGGCCCCATCCCAACCCCACGTGTCTCCTCTACCCGCCCCTCCAGGGCCCCATCCCAACCCCACGTGTCTCCTCTACCCGCCCCTCCAGGGCCCCATCCCAACCCCACGTGTCTCCTCTACCCGCCCCTCCAGGGCCCCATCCCAACCCCACGTGTCTCCTCTACCCGCCCCTCCAGGGCCCCATCCCAACCCCATGTGACTCCTCTACCCACCACGTAAACGCATCCACATTTCCTGGAGCTCTTCTCCCACTCTCTAGTGCCTTGCTATTCCCACTGCAAAACAGAATCCAGCCACCTTTTTCTTCAGCCTTTCCCTTTGTTGGCCAGGGATGTGAAACGTACCATAGCAGGGGACCTGTGGCTATCATAGCTGCTGCTCAGCTGGGACACGCAGTGGACAGAGGGCTGACGGCAATTCCCTGCTTTGCAGCTACAACACTTGGTTTACAACTTGATCTTGTGCATTCTTTTGACATTGTACCTATCCAAAAAGTATTTAAGCAATTATATAGCTTAGTATTTTCAGCTTCTTATTAATAAATTGTCTTTTCAATGTGTTAAAAATGGCAAGTGCTAAGGTGCTTATTTATTAGCTAATACACTTTTTTCTCATAATTTACATTAGGGTGGTAACTGGAATTCAATTAAACACAGAAAACAACATATGAAATTAGATATTATTTTACAAAACAATCCTTTCATGCAGAGCATTACCTGATTTGCCATATTTTATATAGTTTAAATTCAAAAGTTTAATATATTCCCCTGATTCTTTATGTTAAAAAGGCCCCATGGGAAGAAGAGGAGACGCCAGGGATTGCAATGGGGGCCCTGGAGGGGTGGGGTTGAGGAGACACATGGGGTTGGGAGGGAGGATCCTGGTGGGGGTTGAGGAGACACATGGGGTTGGGAGGGAGGATCCTGGTGGGGGTTGAGGAGACACATGGGGTTGGGAGGGAGGATCCTGGTGGGGGTTGAGGAGACACATGGGGTTGGGAGGGAGGATCCTGGTGGGGGTTGAGGAGACACATGGGGTTGGGAGGGAGGATCCTGGTGGGGTTGAGGAGACACATGGGGTTGGGAGGGAGGATCCTGGTGGGGGTTGAGGAGACACATGGGGTTGGGAGGGAGGAGCGGGGTGGGGGTTGAGGAGACACATGGGGTTGGGAGGGAGGATCCTGGTGGGGTTGAGGAGACACATGGGGTTGGGAGGGAGGATCCTGGTGGGGGTTGAGGAGACACATGGGGTGGTTTGCCAACTCTGTGTAACTATGAGCATTTCTTTTGCTCTTTCGGAGCTCAGCGAGAACGGGTTCTCTCCCCACAACTCGCTGAGGTCCCAGACCTCCTGCACGCTCCATGCAGATGTTTTTGCACCACAGGGGACTGGAGCTGCCCCCTTGAGCCATGTGAGCTGCCGCCTTGTGCAGCCTGCTCTGAGGTTGCTTGGAATGCTGGCCATACAGGAAGGAAAAGTAAACTTTCCCAGGGCTTGCCTGTTCACCTAGAGAGCAAAAGAGGCACCAGAGCGGTCAGTGTGGGGCACTGTGGGATGCTTCCCGGAGGCCAAGACCCTCCACTTTCCCCAACACTGTGTCTACATGGCCATAAATTTGACCAGGCGAGGTTGGAAATTGCACTATTCCTCATAAAAGCAGGAGTACCCAAAATCGGCCTCAGCAGCCATTAAGGTCAATGGAATTGACACATCATTGGAAGAGTGGACACATCATTTAGAAAATCAGCTTTATGCACTAAATTCACTCTAACCTCCTAGTGTAGACCAGGCATTAACAAAGGTATTAGGGCAGGGGTTTTCAAAGCTGGGTCACGGACCCACCAGGGAAAGCCCCAGGTGTACCCGCGTTGCGCTTTATTTATTCTAAAGTTCCACCGTCATGGCGCAGTTTTGCCGTTACCTGATCCCAGTGTATGCCGCTTCCCGCAGGTCCCAGGTTTGAAAACCACTCTAATAGGCTTTCATGGGTAAAACCCACTTCATCAGATGAACTGGAGTGGAAGTGTCGGGGACTCGAACCCAGACGGCTTCAGTTCGTTGTCTGACCGCAAAGAGACAGGCAATACAAGCAAAGTCTAATCACAAAGCTCTTTATTGAAGAGTGCACACGACAATAGAGAGCAGCCTGTCTCTACCAAGAACCAGCCCCCGATTTCTATAGCAAGTAGGGTTATATAGACAGTTCCGTCGTGTCATAGACTATTTACTTAAGCAACCCACCCCCCTTTGTTAGTTAGAAACTTCTAGCGTGGGTGCATACCTTGCCAACTATACAAGGTGTCCTTGATGCATTAGCAACTTTGGGTATGTCTACACTACAGCGCTAGTTCGAACTAACTTAGTTCAAATTAGTTAATTCAAACTAAGCTAATTCGAACTAACGCGTCTAGAACTAAAAACTAGTTCGAATTAGCGTTTTGCTAATTCGAACTAGCAAGTCCACATTGAGTGGACTCTGAACAGGGCTTAAGGATGGCCGGAAGCAGTGCCATCAGGGCATCAAAGGAGGACTTAGAGCGTGGAGATGCTGTCTCAGGCTAGCCGAGGGCTGCGCTTAAAGGGTCCTGACCCCCACCCCGGACAGACAGTTCTCAGGGGTGCCCCGCTTGAAAACCAGTCCTGGCTTGGAGTGCCCGGAGTGCCCACACTGCGCACATCACACCACTCGGCCATCAGCCCGGCTGCACTTGCCGCAGGCTGCCATCTGGGGAGAGGGAGCAATCGGGGGGCCCCCTTGATTTTCATGCACACCTGCTCCTGGGTGGCCAGGCTGGCAGCTCTCCTGCCCTAG